GCTTCGGGTTTCACGTCGCCGCGTTACTTTCCCAGGATTTCACAACTCCATGCTACTTTCCCCCCGTCTTCTACGATCCGGTAGAAACGTATCTTCCGTGATCTGGTGCTTTGATCACCAAGCCCACACCAATCACGCCCAATGTCTTCCCGACACTGCTGCTTCGGATCTCACAGCTCCGTGTGACAATCCAGGATTTCACAACTCCGTGTTACTTTCCTCCTTTCCCTTGTTTTGCTCCAAAACAAGTTTTGCCTTGCTTCCAACTTTGAGATTCTGTAGATGATCTTCGTTGATGCGCTGAATCTCTTGAAGTTGATGAAGATTCTAACACTCTTGGATATTTCTTTTCTAAGCTCTGTATCACTCTGAGTGTTTATCTCACAAAAGAATATATCAATTTAAGCTCTTGAGATGGAAAACTTTCTTTGAATTTTGTATGCTCTGTTTAGCTCTGTTCTTGCTCTATTGCTTTTCTTGCTTCTTTCACCCCCTCTTTCCTCAGCTTCAATCTTCATCTATTTATAGCTGGTAATGAGAATCCGTCCGTTGGAAAGAAACGGTCTCATTTTCGAATTTTGCTTAGCTGTATAGCCTTTTGTCAGAAGATAAGATAACGTTACAGATCTTGTCAGATATTTCAAATTGAGCTTGAGGTTTCAGCAAAAATGGCGTCCCATGAATCTCCATCTGGTGTAGATCACGCCTCTTGGGATTTTTATCTTCAAAATATATTCTCCAATATAATCCCTTTACTAGTTAGACTAGTATTTTTGCTCCTGCAACTTCTTCTAATATCTTCCTCTGTTTTTCGTGTATCTGGGTCTGTATACTGCTTCCAGACTTCATCTCTTCAATTGACTTGGAAATCTCTTCCCTTGTGAAACTTCATCCCTTTCTATTTTGGGAAATGAAATCTCTATCCCTTGCTAGATTTGTCAATTGAATTCTCATCCCTTACTTGATTTGGAATTGCAATCTCATCCCTTGCAATCTATATCTCCAATTGAATTGAAGCCTTGTAAATCTCATCCTCCAATTGAATTGAAGCCTTGTAAATCTCATCCCTTCAAATTGAATCAATCTCATCCCTTACTTGATTTGGAATTGCAATCTCATCCCTTGCAATCTATATCTCCAATTGAATTGAAGCCTTGTAAATCTCATCCTCCAATTGAATTGAAGCCTTGTAAATCTCATCCCTTCAAATTGAATCAATCTCATCCCTTGCAATCTATATCTCCAATTGAATTGAAGCCTTGTAAATCTCATCCCTTCAAATTGAATTCTTCTGATGAAATTGCATCCCTATTTCAATTTCGGGGTTCCAATTTGTTTGGGATACCAATTTGAGAAACTGCATCCCTTCACTTGTAAACTTCATCCCTTAGTCAATTTGGAAATCTCATTCCCTTTGACTTTGCAAATTGTATCCCTTGAAATCTCATCCCATAGTCAAATTGGAAATCTCATCCCATTGACTTGCAAATTGTATCCCTTCGGCCAAACCATCGCCTCTTACTTGATCAGATGGAATTTTAACTTGGCTTCTTTAAAATATGTGAGATGTGAGATTTGAACCTGTGACCTTACACATAATATTTCAAGCTTCTACCATCTCGTCCGTATAACCTATTGGTTATCTTCTTGTTCCACTTGGTGTACTCCTTTCTTTCCATAGATGCTTGATCTTCAAGATAGCTTCATGCAAACTTCTAGTCACGTTCTTTCTTCTTCGGGATTTCTTGAGGGATTTTCTCAAATTTCATACGCATACATCTTCCTCTTCTGTTTGCCATTTTCTCTTGACAAATTCTTGATTTTTGGCTTGATATCTTCTTCATCCATTTCCTCAACTAATGAATTTATTTTTCCCTTTCTTGGTCTAAGACTCGACTAGTCTAATAAAATAAAATTGGGGATCTACGAATTGCAATATGGCTTATCAAAATCTATTACAATTTATTCCTAACAGTAACCCATGCTATACAAAACCTATTTTCTTACTTATATGATTATTCTTAGCTTCTACTTGTGATTCTTGTGTTGAAATGTGAGATTTGATGCATGATCTTGTGGTGATGAATGTTTAGAGCTTGTTCTAAGGGTTCTTGAATGCCATTGCTTGGCTATTTCTTGGGTTCAAGTCATATTGTTGTTGTGTGTGAGATTTTGAGTGTTTTGGACTTGAACTTGGCCTTGTTGTTAAAAATCCACGAAGGGATATTTTTGGTGTACAGGTGGTACCCGCGGGCGGAACGGCGGGCAGAGGCCTACCCGCCGCCCCACCCGCGGGGTACATGGCCTCGTGGGTGTATGTACCTCGGGCGGAACCGCGGGTGGTTGTCCACCCGTGGCCCCACCCGCGAGGTACACTGTGGATTGTTGGCAGGGATTTGTTCCCCGTGACTCTTTTGTCTCGGTATTGATGTTTTGACTTCCCGATGTTGTTTTATTGGGCTATTTGTAAGTCTTTTTAACATTTCGTATGTCTATAACGGAATGTTAGGAATTCATGTAGGATTTGGTTTCTTGAATGGTGCTAATAGTCCAGCCTTGTGATTCGTTGGGCTAATTATGAGTCTTGAATGTTCTTTGGAACTACTTTTGGTTTACCCATTTGATAAACATACTAGTTTGATGTTAAGATGCTAGTATGTGTGGTTTGTTCCTTCTTATTGGGATTGGCAACTTGTGTTGACAATCATTTGATGTTGGATTGTGATCCTTTGTTGTTGAGTATGGTCTCATGTCTTTATTGTGATCTCTTGATTGATTCCTATGATGTGAACATATGCAAATCGTTGTACCCTTTGTTGATACTTGATTGAGGTTATTGTTGAGCCTTGGTCTTCTTGGTAATGATGATGACCTTGTGTGATTATGATTGAGATCGGTGGTTGTATTCGAGCTTTGCTCACATGTAGGTGGTTGTGTGAATGAAGTTAATGGTACCCTCGTGTACTGAGATGTAGGTGGTAATGTGGGTGGTTGTAGACGACGGTCCCCGGATGCATAAGGTTGGACTCAGAAGTACAGGGTAGCACTTGGAGGTAATGGTTAGAACTGAAATAAGGCCGGGGTTAGCCATAAGGTTGGAACTTGGAACTATGAAACATGTGACATGTAGTTGTCACTGTGGCATGTAGTTGTCACTGTGTGATTGTGAATTCCTTGCTTTTGAGCATGTCTTGATGTACTTTACTTTGTGATCAGTAGGGTGCATCCTGAGTTGTGTGTCTCTCATCTTTGTGGTCTTATCGTTATTGTGAGGATGAAGATCCTCATTTCTCTTGTGAGTGATTGTTGAGTCTTTGAAGTTGATTTCCCTCCTTAGTTTTGAAATGATATATATTGTATTCCTGTTTCAAATGGTTTTGATTATATATATATATATATATATATATATATATATATATATATATATATATATATATATATATGTTATTTAACACGTATTGATGGGTTACCGACAATATTTGCTGACCGGGTGTTATCCCTTGATTCTACAGGTTTTGAGTAGTTGCTGAGAGCGCTAGATGTGGATCGCTAGATAGAGTAGCTACCATGTTCAGACGTTACCTTTTGTTGGCCTGTGAGCCTAGCTTAGCTACCTGTGTGCCTAGATGTTTTTTGTTCTGTTGACTTGTTGGTTTTCCACCTGTGCACCTATGTCTGAGATAGGTGTGGCATAACACTTCTCCGATTTTTAATTAAGTTTCCGCTGCTGTTTTTCTTTCGATGTAAGCACATAATTAAACCTAGTTGTCTACATAATAAGGATGAATGTGAGTCATGTCTAATAAATGTGTGCATATATATACAAATTTATGTACATTAATGAATGAGTTTAGAATTTGAACGCACACAAAACCAACACGAGTGTACACATACTTTTAAAACCTTGCAAAATATTTAAGTGCACATATAATAACACGTGTGTGCACAAATTAACCCAGAGACAAAATAATAGACAATGGCCATGTTTGGTAAATGGCGGATCCGCCAAAATTTTGGCGAATCCACCATTTTGGCGTTTTGGCCTTGGTCAAAACACCAAAAAACCGTTTGGTAACTCAACGATTTGGAGCAGCGGTTTGGGATTGACATTTTGGAGAAGATTATCCTTCCCTCCTTCCCCAAAACACCCTCCATTATAAATAAATAAATAAATAAATATAAAAATAAAAAATTTAATACTGTCTTCTGGAATTGAAGCTTGAGGCTCTTTAATAAAGAAGCCTCAGACTTCTCAACTCTTACACATCCGATGTGGGATGCGCAAGAGTAAAACAATTGAAGGGAGTTGAGCTCCCTTTTATAAGGGAGCTCAACTCCCTTTTTCTTTTAAATTTCAGATATGGGATGAAATGATCCCACATCTTTTTTGTTTTTTTTTTCTTACTATTATTATTATTATTATTATTATTATATGTATACCCTTTTGGTCATTTTAAATGTTAACCGCTAATCTAAACAGTTAATTTTACCAAATATCTTTTTATAAACCGCTGATACAATCTGCTGGTCAAACCCGCTAACACAATCCGCTATTTATTAACCGCTAATACAATCCGGTACCGCTAACCGCTGATTGCCAAACAAGCCCCATGACTTGACATAAATGACGACGTGCACACTAACGAATTTAATCAGCAGTGCACACAATGCCCAATTCAGTGCATACTACACACAATATACTTTGAATAAATGTTCACACTGAAATAGAAGCGCACACACAACCTTATAATGGACATAACACTACAATGCAGTGCACACTTACGGCATACCTTAGCCCCCTAGATGCACACATTTACAGATACACACAAATCTATACAAGAGTGCACAGTGAGGGAATATGAAATTCACACATATGGAATTGAAAGTACCAATCCTACCAAAAATATGCCTCATAAAATCATTCATAACATTCAAAAATAATAATATCAAAATTCTAAATGCATACATGATGTAAATCACGGTGTCTCATTAATATTATTATGCTCTATGGAACGCCGGAAATACTTCCACCGCCCGCTACCTCTACGGAGGAGGAGGACATTCTCCAGCGAAGTAAAAAGAAGACGAAGCGTATCTACTCGGATAGAGATGGTGATCCCTTGGAGATGGAGTTGGAGGAGCCCAATGGATCTAGCCATACGCCAGGTGATGGTTATGAGAGACAAGGCAACCATCCAAGACACCAGCAGACAACCCAAATTCCGTCGTTCAGGGCTGCCTTGACCGGCATTAGTGACAACACAAAGAGCAAAACTGATGATGTATCTGACGATGAAGAAGATGAAGAGGGAGATGACAACCCAATATGCCCAATGATCAGACTGACAAAGGACGAAAAGATCATATTGAGAGGCAAATGGAAGAATACTTTGATAATCAAAGTCCTGGGTAAAACGGTGGGTTACAACTACTTACTGAGGCGTCTCCGAACCATTTGGAATCTAAAGGCGGGAATGGATTTAATTGCTATTCCAAACGGTTATCATTTGGTAAGGTTTTCGTTTGTCATTGACTATGAGCATGCGAAACTTGGAGGGCTATGGACGGTCTTGGATCACTGCCTGGCAGTAAAGGAATGGGAGCCTGATTTCGATCCTATGCGGGATGACACACAAAAGTTGTTGGTCTGGGCAAGATTTCCCTGCATTCCTATAGAGTACTTCGACCAAGACTTCTTAATGAGGGTGGCAGATAAGATTGGGAAGGCGAAGAAAATTGATACTGCAACAAGTATAGCTCCACGAGGTTTCTTTGCGAGGATATGTGTAGAAGTTGACATCACCAAACCCCTGGTGGCTACATTTGAACTCAAGAACAAGGTCAGGTCAGTAGAATATGAAGGGTTTCACCTTATTTGCTTTAAGTGTGGCATGGTAGGCCATCGGAAAGACGACTGTAAGGGAGGGAAAACCGGAGAGGAAGTGGAAACGCCGGTTAACGGAGAAACAGGCCAAACCAGCGGCGACGTGACGGAGGGAGTAATGGCCACTAAACCTACATGGAAAGATGGGGATAATCAGGAGGGAATTACGGGAAGCAGAGAACCGTTGGGAGATAGATACGGCAAATGGATGATCGCAGAGAGAAAAAAGAATTATTTCCATAATAAGGGACAAGCCAATTGTAGTGGTGAAAGAAATAATAACGGGAAGGGCTCTTCTGCCAAATTAAATAAAGGTAGCAACCAAAATGATATCTCAAATAATTTTGAAAAGGAAGGTTTTAAAATATGGGACAACTCCAGATTTAGCGCGCTGGCAAATATGGGAGAAGATATGCAAGAAGAGGCTGAAGAAGAGCAATTTATTTGTTAGAAGAATAAGGGTGGTTAGAATAAGTTGTTTAGTCTTTCATTTCCTTTTAGAATTATGTGGTTGGGAGTCTCTTAGCCTATGTATAAATAGGCTTCTATCTTGTACAGTAAATACACAGAAATATATATACGGTTTCTACAGTTTCTACATTAACATGGTATCAGAGCGTAGGAAGTGAGAGTGAGTGTCTGGGAACGACGGACGCTGCCGCCTCAAGAAGTCCGGTCGACGTCGGAGGTCTCACGCGCCGCCGCCGCCGAGCAGCTCCAACTCCACGCGGCGACGCGTGAGGCGTTTTCCGGCGACGTCGCCAGTCAATTTTTGGTGCTCTGGTCTCGCCTCGTCGTGCTGATTCCAGGGAGATGGGGTGTGTTGAAGTTTTTCCGTCTGGTTGTGTCTTCTAATGAAAGAGGTAGATGCAGTGTGTATTTTGTTTACTGCGTAAGGTTGGTGTGCTGTTTTTCCTGTTGATTTTGTTGGGTAAAGGTTAAAATGGCACAAGAAAGGAATATCACTGTGATTTCCATGCCATCTAAATTAATTGACATAGTTTTGGCTCCGGATGGGTCTAATTTTCCTGAGTGGAGGTTTTTGGTTAAAGTAAATTTAGATGGTATGGGGAAGGGTGATCATTTGGAAAAAGAGTTTCCTACAGATGCTACAGCTGGGGATTGGAAAACTACTGATAAAGACTTAATGTCACGTGTAATTAATTGCATTGATAGGAGAATTATTTTGTCTATGCAACACTGCCAAACTGTTAAAGAAGTATGGGATTTAGTGAACAAATGGTTTAGTGGAACTAGTAACTTGAGAAAGTTGTATCAGTTATCTTAGGAAGCATATCGATCTAGTCAAAAGGGGCATGAGCTTAGAGATTACTATTATGACTTTAAAAGTGTATTTGTTGCTTTGTGTGCTGCGATGCCAATAACGAATGCTGTGGATGAAATGAAAAAACAACGTGACAAATTACTTTTTTTTAGTTGGATTGCCAGCCTGGATAAAGAATATTATGTTATTAGATCTCAACTACTAGGAAATAAGGACTTGGAATCTTTGGATCAAGTATTTTCCATGCTACAGAATGCATCAGGAAATAATGATTCAAACGAGCCCCAAGAAAGAAATGCCTTTGTGTCACATGGTAATATGGATCCGAGTGCCCTGGTAACCCAAGGGGGGAGTACCGGTGAAAATTATGGTTCTCGAGGAGGGGGTAATAATCGTTCCAGAGGATGCGGGGGTCCTTGGAGAGGTCGTGGAGGCCCACGAGTTTGTTTTAATTGTGGGGATCCCAGACTTTTTCCAAATCAGTGTCCTAAGCCGCCAAGACAACAAATGGATACTAATATGGCTTCCACGTTAGAAGGTCACGCGGTAGTGATGATAGATGAGGTGTTTGCTAGATTCAACCAGATGAAACTTTCTTCTTCCTCGCAGTTTCCATCCAGTCAAGTGCCTTCCTCCGCAACGTTTGTCCAAACAGTTAATTCAGTTGCTTGTGTTTCTTCTGCGTCTCGACAGTGGGTCATTGACTCAGGGGCTTCTGAGCATATGACAGGTAATTACAATATTTTCTCTACGTATTTGCCCGTCAGTTCTGGTCATACCGTTACCCTAGCAGATGGGTCTATAGCCACTGTTTTGGGTAAAGGTAGTGCCACTGCAACTCCCTCGTTACCCCTTAATTCTGTGTTGTACCCCCAAAGTTTCCGTTCAATTTTCTCTCTATCAGTCAAATAGTTCGTGACCTAAATTGTTCTGTTATGCTTTTTCCTGGCTATTGTCTGTTCCAAGATCTTTTGACGAGGAGGATTATTGGTAAGGGGAAGGAGGTTGGCGGCCTGTATGTCTTAGAGCGTTTTACGTCGCTCGAGAACGTCTCTACTGGTTTGGTGAGTAGTGTTTCCCCTTTTCAATTGCACTGTCGATTTGGTCACCGTCTTTGCCAGCGTTAAAGAAGATGTGTCCTGGTTTAGAGTCTTTAACTGTTTTGCAATGTGAGTCATATGAGTTTGCAAAACACCATCGCATTCCTTATGTTTCTCGGGTAAATAATAGAGTTGATTCTTTATTTGAATTAGTTCATTCTGATGTTTGGGGTCTGTGTCGGGTTACGTCCAAATGTGGCTTCCGATATTTTGTAACCTTTGTTGATGACTTCTCTAGGTGTACTTGGTTGTATCTCATGAAGTCTAGAATTGAATTGTTTGATGTTTTCCAGAGTTTTTGTTCTGAAGTGAAAACTCAGTTTAATAAGACTATACAGTGTTTAAGAAATGATAATGCTCAAGAATATCTTCTTAAATCCTTTTCGATCTTTATGAGTCAAAATGGTATCATACATCAAACTTCCTGTGTTTACACCCCCCAACAGATGGTGTTGCAGAAAGAAAGAACCGCCATTTGTTAGAAATTGCCCGTGCCCTTTTGTTCCAAATGAAAGTGCCTAAAGTATTTTGGGCGGATGCTGTTCACACGGCTTGTTTATTTATCAATAGGATGCCTTCCTCTATACTCCGTGGTTAAAACCCATACTCAGTTGTGTATCCCTTCAAACCTTTGTTTACCTTGCTTCCCAAGATTTTTGGTTGTACGTGTTTTGTATAGGATGTCCGTCCACTAAAGGGGAAGCTTGATCCTAAATCCCTTAAGTGTATCTTCCTGGGGTATTCTCAAACTCAAAAAGGGTATAGGTGGTATTCCCCTGATTTAGGGAGGTATCTGGTTTCGGCTGATGTCACTTTTTTGAGGAGACCGTGTTCTCTGATAGCGTTCTTGGGGTAGGGTGCCGGTGATAGAGGAGGATTTTCTTACTTATACTATCACAATTCCTGTACCCACAGTGGAGTCTGTTTCTGGGGTTGTATCCTCCGTTACGCAAGTGTATTCAAGGCGACCTCGGGATGGAGTTGTGTTACGGTCGCACAGGTGAATTTTCCTCCCCTGCCACAACCTCCGTCAACTGATCTTCCAATTACCGTGCGAAAAGGTAAACGTAGTTGCTGTCATCCACTTTCTTCCTATGTTTTTTATGGACATTTGTCAGAGTCTTCTCGTACCTTTATATCCAAACTGGATTCTATGTCTATCCCTAAAATGTTGTGTCAGGCTATATCTCATGAAGGGTGGAAATTTGCTATGGAGGAGGAAATGGCAGCCCTTGAAGAGAATCAGACTTGGGATCTTGTCCATCTCCCCGCCGAAAAGTCTACAATTGGATGTAAGTGGGTTTACGTTGTCAAGCCAAACCCTGATGGATCGGTTGCTCGGCTTAAAGCGCGGTTGGTGGCTAAAGGGTATGTACAGACTTATGGAGTTGACTACACGGAGACTTTTTCTCCGGTTGCCAAGTTAACTTCTGTGCAAGTTTTTATTTCTCTAGCTGCTATTAATGATTGTCCGTTATACCAGTTAGATGTCAAAAATGCATGTCTACATGGTGGTTTGACAGAGGAAGTGTATATGGAGCAACCACCTGGGTTTGTTGCTCAGGGGGAGAACGAGAAGGTTTGTAAGTTGAAGAAATCTTTGTATGGATTAAAACAGTCTCCCAGAGCGTGGTTTGGGAGGTTCAGTAGTGTTGCTATTGAGTTTGGCATGCAACGTAGTGCCTATGATCACACTGTTTTTTATAAGCATTCTAACTGTGGCAGCGTTTTGTTAATTGTCTACGTGGATGATATAGTGATTACAGGTGGTGATGCAACGAGAATTGATGCGCTCAAATCTTTTCTTAAGAAGAAATTCCACACAAAAGATCTGGGACTATTGAAGTACTTCCTTGAAATAGAGGTCGTTCGTTCTAAGAAAGGTATATTTCTTTCACAACGAAAATATGTGCTAGATTTACTTGAAGAATCTGGGCTCTTAGGGTCGAAGCCTTGCGAGACTCCTATGGACCAGAGTGTTAAGCTTGTAACCGGTGATGGGGAGCCTCTTGAAGATCCAGAGCGGTATAGTAGACTGGTGGAGAAATTAAATTACCTCACTATCACTCGTCCGGATATTGCTTTTCCAGTGAGTGTGGTGAGTCAATTCATGGCGAATCCGACAAAAATCCATTGGGAAGCTGCAGTTCGAGTTGTGAAGTATTTGAAGAGTCCTCATGGGAAAGGAATTTTGTACGCCAATCATGGGCATGTGAGTGTTGAGGCCTTCTCTGACGCTGATTGGGCTAGGTCACCGAGTGACAGGAGGTCGACAACGGGGTATTGTGTGTTCCTTGGTGGCAACCTAGTGTCATGGAAAGTAAGAAGCAGGGTGTTGTGGCTCGCTCTAGTGCATAATCCGAGTATAGAGCAATGGCTCATGTGGCGTGTGAGGTGACGTGGCTGTGTAATATTCTTGGGGAGATTGGTGTAGAGGTGAGTGTGCCAGTTCCTTTATGGTGTGACAACAAAGCCGCTATACACAATTCAAGTAATCCCGTGTTTCATGAGCGCACTAAACATATTGAGGTAGATTGTCACTTTGTACGGGATAAGGTTCAGCAAGGGCTACTTTCTGCTGTTCATGTTAGAACTGGTGATCAACGGCGGATGTGCTTACGAAGGGCCTTAGTAGAGCCAGGATTGAGTATATTTGTAACAAGTTGGGCATGATTGACATCTATGCTCCATCTTGAGTGGGAGTGTTAGAAGAATAAGGGTGGTTAGAATAAGTTGCTTAGTCTTTCATTTCCTTTTTGAATTATGTATAAATAGGTTTCTACCTTGTACATCAAATACACAGAAATATATATACAATTTCTATAGTTTCAACATTAACATTATTTTGGAAAGGCTTGATGGTCCAACTGGTGCGCTGTTATATGGTAGAGGCAGAAGGCCTTCGGTTCAAGTTTCAGAAGCTCAGATCAATAATGATATACAGGGAAAACGAAGATGAGGGGTTATAGAAAAAGGGGAAGGGAGCAAGACGCGCTCTACTAATAGAATAGGAGGACATCAACGTTATCTGAACAGGCTGCAGACTTCGAATTCCCTACTCTCAGT